ATATAACATATGAATTGTTGTTTACTTTAAGCTTTAATTATATCATTGGATTAAAATTACTTTTTATAAAGATTTTGTCAAGTAAAAGGTTTTTCTAGAGTTATCCACCATAATTTTGTGGCTCAAAAGTATCAGTTTAGCCACTGTTTTGACACCGGTACCATTTTAAAAGTATCGATTTTTAGCACCGCTATCGAAATAACCACAAATGATACCTAACCCTAGTGTGTGTGATACTCAAATCTGACATCTGCTACCTAGAAATATGAGATATCTCAGGAGAAACAGTGTGCATGTGAATTTTCCTCCTCTCTGCTCTGTATTTCACATGCATTGATTAAACCAAGGCAAATGAGCGTCTAATATCTAAATACAGTAGATTCACAGAATCCAGATGGCTCTGTGTGGTCAGCAGCAACGAAGGACAACCATCGCTCATCGCATTATTTGTGTTTCTGGGAAGATTTTATTTTTGTTGGAGAGCAGAAGGCAGACGGGGTCTTTAGTCCGGGGATTTCGAGGTCTGACCCTTAACATCTCAAAGGAAGGGGAAATGAAATGTTAGGGGGGTGATTTAATATAAAAATGAATCTAAAATCCTTTATACTTCATGTATTGTGTTGGAAATGTTTGCGTTTTCACACAATGTTGAGTCGTTCAGAGAGTGTATTTTCACTCAGTTGCAGGAGGCGGTAACCATAGCAACAGTCGGCAGCTTAAGTGCTTCCCATTAGGATCAATGGACAGAACATCAAGTGTGTTGTCATTATTTGCCACTTTATTACAGATTTAAACTGGCTCCCATCCATTTTGCTGGTAATTTATTATACAGATCAGTTATTTTGCCACCGCAGTTTTACTACTTTTATTGTTTTTGCATGAGGAAGTGTGTTAAAATAGACCTTTTTTATTAAATGACAAATTGCATCTGCTATAAACTATATATTTGTGTAAATCATCATATCCCATTGAAATATTTGATTAAAATACCATCAGCTTTTGTTGTCTTATGATGTGTTTACTGATCTGCATGAATTCTGGAATTAAAGGTGGCCTATTATGCAAAAATCCCTTTTATAAGGGGTTTAAACTCAGTTATGTGGCATCAGTGTGTGAATTGAAGCAGCTTCTAATGGTAAAAATCTGTTAATTTTATTTGTTTATAATCACACTTGATGAAAACACTTTGATTGACATTCTCCCCTTTGTACGTGTCATCAGAGGGGGAAAGCCACGCCCACTATTGATGATCTCTCCCTCATTAGCATAGGATGTTAGTCTTGTTTTTAAATCTGCCACTATGCTGACACATAGGCATTTGTTGCCCCGCCCCTTTTTAAAAAGAGAACAATCTCACTTGAATTTAAAGCGACAGTCACCAAAAAGGCACAATTTTGGATCATAGTCTAAAAGGGCCAGGTTTAAAGAGTTATAAAACATTATTTGTGAGGTATTTTGTGCTGAAACTTCACATACACACTAGGGATATCAGAGAGTAGTTTTTATATCTTGTTAAAAGGTGCATAAGAGGTTCCCTTTAAACACAATTTTTTTGTTGTTGAAATAATACAAACAGTTACATTATACAAAAGCATATACAGTCAAATTAACCCTCCAGAACCGAGAGGAGCACTCCCGCTCCGGTTTACATGTCTCTGTTAAAAGCCAATAAAAACCAAAAGCATTTGAGTAGAGCAATAATTTTTTTTTTTTGCATATGAAATCAGAGACGTTATACTTTCACATCAAGCCAAAAACAAGTCTCCTGTTTCAATTTTTTCACTCTTTAATGAGTTTACACAAATAGCCTAAAATGTTTACAAAAAAATAAACACTTTAATATATTGCACACTTTTGCATATGTGTTTTATAAAGGTTGTTAGTGGTTGCTGTGCATATGACGTAATCACTTCATGTGCACTGTGAACCAATTAGGTTTGTCTCCTTTGGTGATGTCACAGCGCGCTGTTTGATACGTAATATGCGCTCTATGTACTGTATGTGCACTTTTCTCGTCGTGGTTTCTCTTCATCCATTTCAGAACATCATAATTTCTTTCACACACATCCACATTTACACATACATGCACAATCACACACACACTGGTTTAAAGTCATGACCGCATAGCACCAAAAAAACATACACAAAGTCCAATGTTTTGTAATTATTACTTTTGTCTATTGACGGGAAATTCTCTGACTTCTCATTTGCTCTAGACTCTATTTCCAGTAAAGTCGAAGCTGACTTTTGTGAAGGATTAGATCCATTCCAAGACATGTTAGTATATATGTTCTTTATAAATGCTTTGCTTTTGAGTATTAAACGTTCATAAAAAATGCTTTACTTTGAGTTTGAATGTAAGCAAAGCAAACAGAATAAACCCGATTATATGATGTGCTATTTACTCTTGTCGTTTCATTTTTATGCCTAAAACATGGAACATTTTTATCACCTTTTTACTTACATTTTTTTCTGTAGTGCTGAAACGTGCTTTTTACTCACCTTGATGTTGTTTTGAACACTGAAGAAGAACCGTCAACCCTCATCTATGGTATTTGTACAGAGGTTTTTTATTTTTTTATTTTTGTTAATCAATCAAATTGTTCTGTCTACACTGTTTATAAAATAAGTGTATCTCACAAATAAATTGATGTAATTAGTCCAAATCAGTTGTATATAGTCTCAAAGGGTTTCATGCATGTTTTTTACATTAACACGTTTGAGGTTGACATTTGTGTTATTTCTGTATATAGTAAAAACAAAAAAAAACCTCAACGATTATCAGTTTTGTGTGTGTTTTTTTGCACTTTTAAGCTATTTACCTAGTTAATATGGATTTGTGATGTACATAAACTTCAAGTTGGGGATGTAAGGATTTAATTGATTTATGGCATTTTAAAATACTCGACAGAATGACAGCACAGCTGGTAAAAACACTAATATATATATATATATATATATATATATATACTTTGGCGGAATTGTTCTATGCCAGGTCTTAAAGGAACGTCAGAGCTCACAACAGGTCTGTCTTTTATCAGCTATTGGCAATGGAGAAAATGTGTTTTGCTTGCGGAATTTAAAAAAGTCCAAGTCCTACACAATATTTATTCTCTTTTGTTTCACTTGACAATACAACACAAAATATAGGAAAATACTATTGCAACCTTGTTGCTGACTTTAAATTAATTTATTTTCATTCTTTCTAATGAACATGTACAAACATAACTGTTACTTTCTGATTAATGGTTACAAACAGACATTTAGGTGAAAGTTGAAGAAGCCGGAAGTTTAAGGTGGTCAAACTGGACTAATGAATTTGGTACAATTGTAGACCAGGTATAAATCTGATATATTGCAATATATGCGAATTACACACCATATATGACATGCAAGCTCATATTATATTCATTCATTTTCTTTTCGGCTTAGTCCCTTTATTAATTTGGGGTTGCCACAGTTGAATGAACCGGCTCATATTATAATTTCACATATTTAAAATATATCTCAAAATATTGGGAAAAATATGGCTCGTTACAAATAGTATTTTCAGCTATTGGAATTACCACTATGTGTTAAAATATTTTAGAAATAATATCATTTGTGTCGTTCATGTATGTTCACACGTAATAATTTCTAATATATTTGAACATATTTGTACATATTTGTAATTAAACTTGTGCTGGGTAAAGATTAATTGTATTTAAAATAAAAAATTGTTTTGACATAAGATATGCGTGTGTGTGTATACTGTATATCTTTATTATGTAAGTGTAATAGGGTATATGCCGAAACATGCTAATAGGACTTTTAATTTGCCAGCAACCTGGATTAAGCGCTTCCAGTGAACTGTATGCCAATGCAAAATTGACGTGTTTAAGGTCTGTTTTCTATAATAATCAGCGACCTCCACTAGCTGAGTGATATACGATATAAAGTGGGGCTCAGATTGTACAAGAAGCACTGCATTAAATTATATTTCCCCCGCCATGTCTTTATTATATGACCATTAATTTTACCCCAGTATATTCAATGGAGCTTCTGCGCTACCCTGCCGATTCTGACGTGCGCGTGTGAGTAAACGGCTTTTTGTCTCGTTTTATGCTTGAACAACTAAATGAATGCCAAAGTCTATTTAACTGAATGTATTTTAATTACATCACAACATCGATGCTGTAAAAGGAACCGTATAAGATTTAAAAAAACTCACAATAACAGGTCACGGGAAGTTTATCAGAATGGGAACAACACTAGCTCGACATATACCCTGTACACTTACATAAATAAAAAACAAAACTATACAAAACATTTGTGTATAGATATCTACATTTATATATAAGCTGTATTCAGCTGTATTGGATTCAAGTCAGGTGATTGGTTGGGCCATTCTACAGCTTCTTCTTACTCTGCTGAAAGATTTCAACTGCTCTCTGAGCTTTCACTGCCTTTCCACACCTTCCTTTCTTCATGTGTTTAATACTCCTTTTCCCTGTGTCATTTCATTTTATTACTTAAAACTTCATTTGTAAACTAATTAACATTGTTTTCTTTGCATATATGGATTGCATTTGTTGTGAATAGCACCTTTAGAAGTATGTTTTCTAAGAAAAATGATGACATGTTGAATATGTATTTCCCCACTGTCCATGTAAAGAAAGTAAATGCATTTCTGACAATAAAGTTTTGTATTGTATTTATTAAATTATTATATGTCTGGAAACCCAAGTAAGATGATCAGTTTTAGCATCTTTTTATTTTTTTACAGAAATGGATGTTTAATCTGACACTGTACAGATGTCAAAGACAGAAGCAACATGAATTGTTCAGTATAAAAGCCAAGAACCCCTGAAAGATAAATAGATTGTTTATATGCGTTCACAGTGTTAGTGGAAACGTTTTTGTGGTTCAGGTTGGGTGAATTCTTTCTGTGCTGCTGTTTGTTCATGTTGCTCTTGTGTTGTTCTGCTTTATTTATGCATTTTATCTGCTTGTTGTTCCAGATGTGGCCCATACATTCAGAGATCTCCAACTGCGTCATAAAACGCGAGGAGGAGAGATGCTTGGAGCGAATCGCGCTCCACGACCCCAAAGACGACCAAAAATTTGGTAAGAAAGAGCAAAGGCTGTTTCAAACTATTTGTGCAGTTGAAGTCAGAATTATTAGCCCCCCCTGTATATTTTTCCCCAATTCCTGTTTTACGGAGAGAAGATTTCTTCAACACATTTCTAAACATAATAGTTTTAATAACTAATTTCTAATAAATGATTTATTTTATCTTTGTCATGATGACAGTAAATAATATTTGACTAGATATTTTACAGCTTAAAGTGACATTTAAAGGCTTAACTTGGTTAATTAGGTAAGATAGGGTAATCAGGCAAGTCATTGTATAACAGTGGTTTATTCTGTAGACAATTGAAAACAAATATTGCTTAAAGTCATAGGTGTAAATTTTATTTAATGGGGGGGGACAATAAAAATTTTACAGACACAAATAATACAGTCAAAGTTATCATGGGTCACCAAAGTGGAATGAACCTCCAATTACTCTGGCAATTGTTTTACACATTGGATGCTCTTGCATCATTTGCACACACTGTAAAAAAAATCTGTTAATTAAGAGTTTCGGTACTTTGTGATTCACAAGTGTTGTGAATTGCATAATGGGATGTTGACAACCCAGGCCTATTCTGGAAACATAGTCCCACGTTTCTGGAGACTGCGAAATGCATCCCGGGAGGTAGATATTTTTGCAGTTTATGTTTTCGCAAATCCACAGGAGGCCGCTGTGTGCGCTTTCTCACATCTCAAGTGTCTTCACCCGCGGCCGGGCTGTTCTCACGTAAACCCACCAGAGGCCTCTGTCGAACAACCGTCCATCCGACTGGCTGAATGGGCGACCGGCCAATCCACCCTCCTCCTTTCCTGAACCCAACCAATTTTACAGATTGACCCGCTTACTTCCCTAAACCCAACCAACAATTTACAAAAGCCGTCCAGAAAAAGAAAAGCCCTCGTCTGATTTTTTTTTTACCACGTTTTCGGATTTTACCACATTCTCACCCTGTCATGAACTTGTTCGTTTTATTTTTTGGATTCTGTTTTTGTCTTACCTGATTTCTGGAATGGCTCTACCCTACACTCGAACCCGGTCGTCGTAGTCAGCTCCTCTCTGCGTCTCAAGTCCGCCGACGTACACGACGAGCTAACCGGACAAACTGGTTGCGGCGGGAAAGCCCTCCACACAGAGGTAAGCGCTCAGCCGGTAAGCGCGAAAAGAAACGGCGTCATACCGCCCCATAGCATTCGCTTAAAAATTAAATGCAGTCATACGTACCTCCGGCTACATAATTTGCGGCCTCCAGAAACGTCCGCAGGACTACTTTTTCAAAATGAGCCTTGGGTTGGATGTTGATCTCTGCTCTGTCGACTTTTGGTGTTGAAAATTCAACTCTACAGTTTAGCAAAGTGACTTTTATTGACCTTTTAGTATTTATAAGAAATAATATATAGAGAAATAAATCTGAAAATGCACTGGCGGTTTATTACAAGGTTTTTGTAGCGTAATATACAACACCAACCAACACAACCAGACAATATATCACTTTAAAAAGGCCCCTATTATGCATTATAAAAGGTCATATTTTGGTTTTAGTGGTCTCCAATAACAGGCTGATATGCATGGAAGGTCAAACAGCACTTTCATTGTCTTATAATATGCATTTATTTTTCCCTAATTATACCAACGACTCTTATATGATGTGTTCAGCGATTCATTTGTACCCAAACCTCTCCTTTGCGCCATGTTAATCTTCGCTGATTGGACCGATGACCCAGTCTGCTGTGATTGGCCGACAGCGTTCAGCACGAGATGGAGAGAAACGCCCAGCACGGTTAAAAAGTAGTCAGAGCACAGAGGAATGCAGGAATGCATTAAAGCAATGCTCTTAAACATCAGCAGATTTGTAAACATTGAGCAGACATTGAGGTTGCTGAAAAAAAAAAAAAAAAAAAACGGGAGCGCTAGCATTTACAGAGAGGGAATGACATCTGATGCGGTACAGAGTTTGGTGTTGTATTAGAGATAAGTTATATTGATTACATATTATAAATAATATTACCATAATGCTTTCAGCATATTATAACCACTTGTCACTCAGGGATAAGCACAGTTATTTGGCCAAATGAACGGTAAAGTGAGCGGCGTTCATCTGACAGGTTCATTTGCGATAGCACCCTCCCAATTGATATTGGATAAGACGAAATGGCCAAGCATCCAGTCCCAAAAATACAATCTCACTGAAGCGATTTAACAAGAGAGAAGTTAAAGGCCTACAAGTCTTTACACTTACAGTTAATCATATAACATAGCGAACATTCTTCACACTCTCTTTTAAGCAGCTTATTTAAAATGAATTAGTCCTGTTTGTCAAGAATCTGAAGATAAGAACCAGGTTAGCAGAACTTGCGTTCATTGTTTTCATTTTTTGGCTCACGGTGGTGCTAGTGTGTCATTGTCCCCTATAGAGGCATTCAGGTACCGTGGTAAACAGGAAGAGGCAGTGACACCTGTCAGCAATTACAGAGCAGACGAGTTATTTCTGTGCGAGCTGCAGGACTCATACAGCGAGATGTGGATAAATGAGCTGAGAGAGAGAGAGAGAACAGGAAGATGGAGAAAAGAAAAGCTCTCTGACTCATGTGTTTGCAGCCTCAAGGACACTCCAGATATTCGGAGACTGTTCGGAGCAGAAAATACCAGATTATAGCGTGTAAAACAGCTGGAGTTGCTAGAAAGACACTTGGGGGTAAATGCAGCAAACTGGAGAAGGCTTGTATGGGGGATTTCAGCATACATTTTTTTTAATAGTGAGTAGAAAGGATAGTCATTTGCTTACCTTTGGCTGATCATGGGTTGCCACAGCGGAATGAACCGCCAGTTACTCTGGTAATAGTTTCACACAGTGGATGTCCTTGCAGCTGAAACACTCAACACACTGTAAAAAAATAGGATTAAGAGTTTCCATTTTGTGTGTGTTTTCTGTTTCTTCACGGTTGTGAATTGCATTATGGGATGTTGATCTCTGTCGACTTTTGATGTTAATAATTCAACTCTGCTTTTTAACAAAGTGACTTTTTTTGACGTTTTAGTATTTTGAAATAATTTAATGTATAAAAAATAATATATAGAGAGAAAAACGTGTGAAATAACAGATTAATAACAGAATAATAGTGTGATATATAACACCAACCCAGACGATATATCAGTTTATACAACAGTTCTGTCTGCTTCTCGAATCTAATTGGCTGATAGCCTTGAGATGTTTAAGTGATATCAGCACCCGTACAGCCTCTTTACCCTTCGTGTATTACTCCGCCCACATACAGCCAGCAACAAGCAGAGGACGGTCTACAGTTTGACAAATATTACTGCTGTTTTACAAAAAGCTTTTTTAGTCGAGAATGTACTTGTTTAGATTGCAACTAGGCTGTTTATTTATAAGAATAGTGTGTATTTTAAAATATTTACAATTTCTGAGAGACAGCTCGTCGGCAGCCATAGCCTGAGTGAGTAAGGTGAAGCTGCAGGCCCGGAGAACCAACTGCACGCTCAGACCTGCACGCACAGACCTATCATTTTCTCAGACAGTGCCACCTGCTGTTAAGTTGGGTGTAACGGCAGGTACGGAGAGCCAACTGCACGCTCAGACCAACACTTTAGCAAGTAGCAACATCAGACACACCACTAAGGTTATTGATTATTAAAGCGAGTCCTGAAAATTACCAGGTTTTATGGTGAATGTGGTGTAAAATATTACACTAACAAACAATTTTTTCAGTGTTTGATTTGATCAACATTAGTGTCAAAAGAGCATTGTTTTACGATATTTACAGCTTGCTTTTATTTTCGGTGTTATTGTACCATTTAGGGATAATTTCCTAGCAATGTTTTCTGGCAAAATAAAAAAAGAGCTAAAGTAAAAATGTTAAAATAAAATGTATAATATATAACGCAGTTATTATTTGAAAGATATTTTAGTGCTGTATAGGTCTACAGTACATATTACTGTATTATCTATCTGAAAGTGCTACCAAAGGCAATAACAGTACCACAATAACAGTTTAACAATTATTAAGTTCTGTAATGGTTACAAGTAAGTTTTTTGGAAATCAAAATATCTGTTAATCTACAGTACAATATGAGCTCTCTTTGGTTAAAGCAAAAATAATTTGCTTGTGACTTGTGTATTTGTCTCCCAGATGGATATTACAATTCAAAAAGGGTGATCTCTGTCAACACTAATACAGTGCACCAAAGGCTGCAGATATTTTCACAGATTTTTGCTTAAGAAATGAAATATCTTCCCAACAAGAATGCAAAGCATTTATTTTATTTAAGTATTTTTTTTTTTTACGTAAAAACATTAGTATTAATTCAAGTATTATTTTCACCATTTTTCTCTGCATTGTTTACAGCTTGATGACTTGTAGGACCTCATGAAAAAGTTTGTTTTTAAAGTTTGTTGTGAGAAAATTGCCCAAAGTACTATAATTTACTGTATGTCAAGTAATGTATTGTATATAAGGATAATATTTATTGCCTCAACTCAAGATGAAACAGTGATAAATGATAAAAAAAACAATAAATGTCTGAAAATATTAAAGTAACTGAACAATATCTATTAACAATATCAATATCTCAACATCTACAAATACAATTAATAAAAATACAACATAATTAATGCATAAAATCAAAATCTAGTATGTTTAATATTCTATAAAATAATGTATTCAATCATAGCGTAATATTTTATGGGAGAAAAATTGTTTAAATAACAATTTATAAGCAGCTGAATTCAGGTTAGTTGATCATTCAAACAGCAGGTGGCACTGTGAAGGTCTAGCCGTATGAGCATGTAGGTCTGAGCGTGAGGTTGGGTCTCCGGGCCTGCAGCTTCATAATGTTGGCCTGAGTAGTAGAACAAAGACGGTTGACGTTTTCATCCACAAGATGGCGACAGAACCGCAGGGGTTCTCAACTGGTTTGGGAATGGGACCCACATTTCTACATGGTCATCAAGCCGCGACCCAAATTTTTAGGAACTATAATACAATTTTAGGAATTATAATTAGTTTGTATTTATTTGTTAACGTACACAAGTAGTGACAGATAAATCTTAGAAAATCACCAAGACTTACAAAGAAACTATATTTTATTGCTATCATTTAACAAAATGTATCAAATTATAGAAATATTACAAAGTAAAAACGACAAATACTGTAAACAGCGGTTAGGGTAAGGAAAGGTTTAGTTACCATGAACTAAACTGAACTGTTATTAAAACATGTTGTCTGGTTTTTTAAATGTCATTTTAATTTAAAAGGTTTCGTGCTCTCTTGTGAGAGCACCTCGCTACTTTTGACACACTGAGGCTTTAAGTCTTTTTTGTTGTCAATATATGTAAATCCATACTTTACATATTAAGAGTCGTACTTGCGCTTCAACATATCAGTTGCTATAATTAAATGAAATTTCACATGTCAAACGGTAGGGTTGTCTTGGGCACATTTCAAAATAAAAGTCAAAATAAGTTAAAAAATAAACTTCTGTTGTTTTTTTGACCACACACTCCGCAACCCACTGAAAATGTTCCCACGACCCACTTGAGTCGCGACCCACCAGTTGAGAAACACTGAATACACCTTAAAAGAGACTTTAATAGTAAGCCTTATAAGACTAAAACAGCGTGACTACAGCTGATTAAATCATTATTAAACTGGTAAGTGACATTCCAAGACAATCTCTTTCTCTTGTATGTTGCTGTGCTATATTTATAACGTTACCATAAGTAATTGTAGCGCATTGAGCATGAGATATGGGACTCGCACATCAGGAATGTGTGTTGTGTTGGCAGAAATAAAGATGAAATGCTTGCATCTGTTTAGCGTTTTTCCTTTTCGCTAACACAACAGCAGTCTGGTGGTTATTGCACTGCTTTTTTCAGGGTTCGTTATTGGGATATTGTAACGGTCGCTTAATGTTTGATATGCATTGTAAATGTCATGTCTCCTTTAAGAGGACTTCTTCTGTGGTTGTTTTACCTTTGAGATGTCATAGATATATACACTAGATATCGCATAGGGACCCTGAGCATGCGTCAATAGCGCCGCCACTTTGGTACAGTGCTCCCAGGACAAATGTCATTCAACCGCACTAGTCAAGACAGTGTTATTATGTGAAGATGCGGGACTTTAGCGCTGTCTACGGGTGTAGTAACGAGCAAACAAAGAAAACAAAGCACAAAGGCAGAACATTTCATAGGTAACATTATGTTTTTTTCTGTTTTTGTATGTTCTGAACTTTTGTGCTAATCAGGTAACGTTATTGGGGATAACAGTCACTTAAGTTACTGCATTCACCATACGGCAAAGCAGCTCCAACTCGCACTAAACACTCGGCTTATGCTAGTTTTGTTGAATAAAATCAGCAAACAATGCAAAAGAAATATGACAACGAGATGCTGCGCTGCCAGAAACTTGTATTATTGTCGCGTAACGTTAGTGAAAGAGTCGTTCGGGGGATTCATTCACAAACGAATCGCTCCCTCCGTCAGTATGAGAAGTGAAAGCAGAAGAGGAGCTGTGTTTCAGGACACGGATTAGATTAAATTTAACAGGGAGGGTGAATAGTACATTTCTGTACACACAAACACAAGCTTTTTGTCAGGAATGCCCGTGCGGTCACTGATCCATCAATGTAGAAAAGTGATGTAAAATTATAATTTTTGTAATTAGAAAAAAAAATTACATACTAACATCCAGGAAAACTCCCGATCACAGATATATGTGTATATGTGTATATCTCTGGCTTTGCATAGCCACAGTCCTCCACTGTACCTTGGTCCCGCATTCATTTCAAAGGAGAACTACCCTGTAGCAAGATGGCGGCGCTATTGATACATTCCGTCCAATAGGCAACAATAGGCCAGGCGACATCTAGTGTATATATCTATGTTGAGATGTAAGCACCTTAAGCACGCATGCATGGGAGCTGTTCAGTTCAGTGAGCTC